GTTTTTTAATTGAGAAAAGAGAAAATATTATCTAAATCTTTAAATAGAATAATAGTAAAGAAAAAAACAGATAAATAACATAAAAATTAATATTGAGTGTTTTTTTAAATTCTTTTAATATATTTTTTTAGTGTGATTATATATAATTTTAAAAAAAAATACTCCTGTTAATTACTAAACACAATTTTTAACTCAACTTTAATTACTTAATTAAAATTTTTTAAGTAAAAATTATTATAAAACTCAAGAATTGATAAAAAATAATAAAAAAATCTAAACTCTAATATAAAAAAATAAAAATAAAAAAACCCGTGCAACGCACGCGCAAAGCAAAAACTAGTTATACTTAATTTTGCTTCTAATCTCCTTAATTTAATTATGAGTAATAATTAGTACATTATTCAATTTAATATACTTCACAATACATTTATTAAAAAATTATTATTTTAAAATTAAATTAAACGTGAGAATGCTTTAATAGTTAAACTAGTAACTGTTACCATATATTAAATCAGAATGTGTATTCATTATTTTTTAATTATTTATTAAACTTGGATTTCTAATCACTCTCATACCCTATAAATAAAATTTTTGGGTTTTGCCTTATCTTTCTTAATTTATTTTCCGATTCGTTCTTCTGGATTGATTTAGTCTATTAACTGATATATTTTTTTTATTATAATTGTAATTGAAGGCATGGTAGTAAATGCAGCTCATGGTCCCTCACGAGAAGAACCCTCCTGTTATCAATCCCGTCTTCAATTCCTAAGTATATATTCTTCTACGTGTGTATTTTCAATTTTTCTTTCTTTATTATTTTATTCCCTCTTATGACTTTCGTAGAGTTAGTTGGGTCATTTTTTGTTCTTCTACCGTAGTTAGAGGCAATCCTTTTAGATAAAAGATAATGATCATAGAAAGGTAAGTAGTTGTTTCATTCTTTCTCATTCCTCATTTTTTTTTTTTATTTGAAAGGCCCCCATATATGTATTGTTATTTTTCGCTAGATATCATGGTAAGGCGATGATTATTGCAGCAACGAAACTCATTCTTTCGAAATCCTAATTATATTTCATTCATTTGCAGAGGCACTACCACGCAAGTCGGTTACAATTCTTTCAAAGATCCTTGGTAAGCAACCGCGTCTCCGCAAAATTAACTCTTGATTAGAGAGTTTGCTTGGTTTGGTAGAGGTAGTTATTACTTGCTCAAATTTTATTTTACTATATTATAAAATTGTTAAAGTTTTTAATAAATTTTAAATAAATATCCAATAATTTTATTAAAATTCTTAATAAATCTTCAATAAATATCATGGTAAGGCGATGATTATTGCAGCAACGAAACTCATTCTTTCGAAATCCTAATTATATTTCATTCATTTGCAGAGGCACCACCACGCAAGTCGGTTACAATTCTTTCAAAGATCCTTGGTAAGCAACCGCGTCTCCGCAAAATTAACTCTTGATTAGAGAGTTTGCTTGGTTTGGTAGAGGTAGTTATTACTTGCTCAAATTTTATTTTACTATATTATAAAATTGTTAAAGTTTTTAATAAATTTTAAATAAATATCCAATAATTTTATTAAAATTCTTAATAAATCTTCAATAAATATGCAATGAATCTTTTAAAATTTTTAACAGATACCAGATAAATTTCCAATAGATTTTTTAAAATTCAAACTCAATTATATTTTCAATAATAATCTTTCTTTTTAATGCAATTCTATTTTATTTTTATTTCAACTACTTAAGTTATAATTTAATATGAAATTAATTATATTTTTAATAATAATCTTTTTATATGCATTTTTAATATTAATATAATTTTAATTTTAGAGAACGAGTATCGTTAAGTAAAAATTTTAATCTTATAATCTTACTATATTGTTCACATAAGTTGTATGTAGCTTATGTGAACGCATATTTAATCATACCCGTTAGGCTTCCTCCCCTTGAGATTTTTTTCCTGCTTAAAAGGAAAAAAATTGTTAAGATCTTTAATAAATTTTAACTAAATGCCTAATAAAATTTTTAAAATCTTCAATAAATATTAAATAAATAAGGGTGAATCTCATGGGTGGTCACCCAACTTTATTAAAATCAACGTTTTGGTCACTCAACTTCTAATTCTAACAAAATGGTCACCTAACTTCTTAAGTTGTCCAACCGTTAGTCATCCATAGTTAATATTAATTGAAAATGTTAAATTGCCGTTAAGGTGGCTAAGTTGAATGCCACAGGGATCTGACGTGGCATTACAAGCACTAAAAATGTAAAATTTGTAATTTAAATCCCTAAAATTTTGGCTTTTTTTTAACTCTAATTTAAGCAAATATAGTGAATGAAAATGAATATTAGGAAAATTCAAAATAAATTAGCAAATCAGTATAATCTGTTGGCTGTGTCTATAATGTGAAACTTCTTTGGGACTAGACAGATTTCTAAAATAGAGGGAAGTTAAATTTGCTAAGAAACCCCTTTTCTAGCTTACCTAATAATAGACAAAATGAATGAAAATGGACTTCGAGAAAACTCAGAATAAATTACCAAACTAGTATGATCTAGTTGGCCATATCTGTAACATGAAACGTAAATCAGATCAGCAAAAGGGAGAAAGCAAAGCAGGGCGAGCAAGAAATAGGCGTATTAAGTAACAGAAAATGAATGTGTGTGACGGAGGGGGTAACAAGAGAGAGTAAATATAGTATGGTCCTTTTGTACATTAAAAGGGATTTGAAGGTTTATTTAGTAAATAATAGGCAAGAATGGTTCTAGGTCAGCATCCAGCAAGCAAAAGGATTCCATGGTGTTATAGAGTCTAAGTCAATTAGCAGTTAACGGGAAGATAACGTCTACTGACATGGCATATTAAATAATGAGTTCTTTATTCAACTCAAAAATTTCGTGTGTGGATTTGTTTTTGTTTTTTGTTCAAGGGTGAATTTGTCTTGTTATTATACTTTTGGGGTAAATTTAAGTATTTTGCCTTAATATGGTATTTATAACCTTTTAATCAAAAAAACTTTATTGACTAACATATATTTGACTATGTTAAATTTTGTGTAATCAACAAAGTGATTAGACTTACTAGAACAATCTAAAAATTTGACATATAATTTATATGAATAAAACTTTTAATCTAACTATTTATTTTTCAAAATATTAATTAGAAAATGAGGTTTTAGGCATATCCTCAAAAAATTGGGATGACAATTTGTAAAACACTTTTTCCTTTTCTCATTTATTTTTAAGAAGATGATTAGTACACAATCTGATTCAACACACCTTTCGACATTCATCAAATTCAATCATTAAAATAAAATATAAGTACAATAAACTCAATTAGTTTTCATGCTGTACCATAAGAAATAATTATTTTATAATGAGTTTGTTATGCAATATATTGAATTAAAGATTGTATTAATTAATGTCTTTATCTTTAATGGATTTTTCTAACCCATGCCATAAAGGCACACAACTTAAGATGCATTTATTATTTATTGTATTTTTTCACCATTAATTTAAAGAAAATTTTATATTCAACACAAATGGGACGTAAAAAATTTTAATTAGATGTTTGATAAAATTAAAGTTAATTTTTATTTTTTTATGTAAATTAATAAAGAAAAAGTGCAATAAATATTATTTTAACACATATCTTAAGGCACAAGTTAAAAACTTTCATCTATAATTTAGTAGAAAGTTATAAAAATTTAAGATTTAACTGTTCCTCATTTTCCTGAAAATTCTTAAAGTTAACTTATTTTTATTGTTTGACTAAGAAATAACTACTACTACTGACCAAACACAACATTATGTTTTTTCTTTTCCTTCATTTTTGTGCTCTTTATTCTTATCTGTAGAATAAAGCAAATATATGTTTTTTTTTTTTTTTTATATCAGCAAAACAAACATATGATCTAAAGTCGACAGATGTGTGTGCTCGTAAGGTTGTAAGTTTCTTATGTGAGAAATTGCGAGATTTAAAACACAACCAATTTTTGCAAAATAGCGCAGTGGAAGCTATCTTTCAGGCTATTAGGAATGGAATCCCAGAGATTGCGATTGAAATTGCAAAAGCTCAAGAAGATATATTGTGGACCAGCACTGATCCTGAAGATTCAAGAACCATGTTTGCATATGCTATAGCACATCGTCAAGAGGAAGTGGCAAAATTTCTTTATGAACGTAAGGCAGATAAATTTTGTGGCACTGATGAAGATGGAAACAATAACTTACATCCAGCAGCAAGGTTGGCTCCTCATTTTCAACTAGATCGCATCTCAGGTGCAGCTTTGCGGTTGCAAAGTGAATTACGCTGGTTTAAGGTAACCATTGTTTAGTTTTTATTTTTATTTTTTTTTTCTAATTAACTGATAATTTCTTTTTTCATATATTATGCGACTATCAAATTATTTTAATAAAAATAGCACATCTTTTTTAGAAAATTGAAAAATTTTTCAATTGAGATAACCAACCCTATTGATTTTTTAATTTTTTATAAGATGAAAATTTATGTCACATTTTATCTTAGATAATCTGATTTCATAAATTTTGATTTATTATTATTTTTTCACTTAACGAATGCAGTCGGTGGAAGCAATTGTTCCACGGTTCTACAACGAACAGAAAAATAAAAATGGTGAAACTCCTTATCAAGTGTTTGTTAAAGAACACGAGAACTTGTTAAAAGTTGCTGAAGACTGGGTGCAGAGAACTGCACAATCTTCTACATTCGTAGGTGCTCTTATTTTCACTAGTATGTTTGCTGCAGCTTTTACTGTTCCAGGTGGGAACGATCAAAATACAGGCTTCCCCATATTTTTGAACACAACGGCACCGACCGAATTTTTTACGGTTACACCGTTTAAGGTATTCGTAGTATCAGATGGAATTTCCCTTTTTACTGCATGCAGTTCAGTGTTCATGTTTTTGGGGATTTTCACTCCACGTTACGCTTATGAAGATTTTCTTATATCCTTGCCCATAAAGTTGATTTTTGGTTTTTTTTCACTCTTCATCTCTATTGTAACAATGGCAGTAGCATTTTGTGCTACTCTTTTTATGATGCTACGAGGTCAACGGAAGGAAGTCATTCCAATAACTGTGCTTGCTGGTATTCCTATCATGTGCTTTGCGTTGTTGCAGTTTCCTCTTCTTGTTGAGATTATTGCTTTAACTCTTAGGCCGGACATCTTTGATAGAAAAACTGCAACAGCACGGTTGGTTGAATGGCTGGGCGATAATATTCCCATCCTTCCGTTTGTGGTAGACGGAGTGATCGATATAAAGTACCGACTGACCAACTATCTAAGAAGCAGAAACGGATAGTCATGGTTAAGTGTATTTTTTGTTTTTTAGCTATGTGGTGCAATTAAACGACTCTAGTCTATATATTTTCTCGTTGGAATAAATACTTGGTGGATCGATGTATATTCTTTCCAGATTTCGAAGTCAAATTCTTCTTTGCAAGTTGCATTTTTATTGCTAATTCATTTTCCACCTAACTTCAATAATTATATAATTAAAAGTTTTGTATATTTAAATGGTTAAATGCTAAATTTAATCCCTTAACTTTACGAAATACACATTTTTGATCCCTCAACAATTTTTTGCATTTTTTTGATCCATTGACTCTAAAAATTGCACATTTTTGGTCCTTCCATCAGTTAAGTATGATATGGCAGTTAAATAATTTCATGTGGCATTGTCTTTTAATTTTTTTGATAATGTGGCAATAATATATATTATAATTATGTTATATAAATAAATAAATATGTCACATAGATTAATAGGTATATTTTAATTAAAAACAAATAAAATTACCTTATTACCCTCACCCTCCCAATCCCTCTTCTTCCCCTTCTTTCTTTCTGTTTCTTTCTTTCTTTCCTACCCTGGGATAGGTTGGGTTCCGTGGAAACCTAGTTGCTGGGTTCGTCGACCAGCCAAGGCTAGGTTCCTTGCTGGGTTCGTCGAAACCCAGCAATGTGAAGTTCAACTAAAGGGGAGGGATAGCAGTCCAAGGACTTGGAGGCTGCTCGTATTGCACACACCCTCCTCTATCTTCTGTTGAGCTCTTAATCTCCATATGAAGCAATGCAATCTCAACCTAGAGGATGGGCTGGTTTCGATAGCGGAGAGAAACATGGTTGTTTGGGCAGCTTCGCGATCCAACACTGTTGAAGTCCTCAGCTGCTTCTACACCTGTAAATCCCGAGGATGTTTCCTCAGGGAAAACACTCCGACGCTCAAGTCAGCAATACTCAATATTCTAGAGAGAGAGGCTCTTAAGGAGTAATTGCAGAGAGAGAAGCGTAGAGATTAATTACCTTCATCGGAGGTAGTTGGGGGGTATTTATAGCCCCAAGTGCTGACATGCATCTGTACATGTAAGCATCTCATTGGTCCACGTGGTGCTGGCCATG